AAAAGTTTCCTCTAGGTATTTGTGGCGTTGGATCTACGGTTCCGTACGCCGTCATATAGAATATTTCGCACGAGATTATTTTTCGCATTAGGTGGTAGCGCCTTTCTTCCCGTCCTTCACGTTATGTCAATTTATGGGGTAAAGAAATCTTTTTGTTTGTTTTTTTTTCCTTTAAGAAATATGTTGATAATTATTGTATTTATTCCTCGTTAGGTGGCCTTGACTTACGATGTTATCGCACTTAAATGGATGGTAAATTTGTTTAAATTGGTTACATTCATGGTATTATTGAGTATTAAAAAAAATTTTTTTACACATTTATATATTAGATGATAACAGCACTTCTATATGTGTTCGGGGCTGTAGTTTACGGGACAAGGTATTTATTTTTAGTTGATGCATCGCAATGTTTTCCTGTGAACATGAGTCCAAGCTTAACGTTGCCTTCCCTTTAGAATGCCCGAGAGCCTGTTTCCTGGATCATTCGACATCTGGGTAGGTAGAAAGGTCTCCCGAATCCTCCTAACATTCTTTTCACGGACTTTTTCTTATAGAAATTTTAATCACACAGGGTTCTTCACATCAAATATTTCATTCTTTCGTCTTAGCTGCCACCTTAACTAATTATTATGGTGTCATGCAGACGATGTCATTCTGGCATGAAAAAAACCATGAATGTCAGCTTGATATAGGTGCAATGAAATCCTTGTTGCATTAAAAAAAAAAAAAAAGGGAAAATAATAGAAAAAAGAAAAAAACATTTTAAACAATTTTTTATCATCTAGAATACGATGTGTTGGTATTGTATATGTTGTCACGTGGTTTAATTTATAACAACATTGTACTATAAAATCCAAGATTAAAGCATCGCTAATATGAGCACCTTAAAGGGCGTAAACCTAATTACATTTTAGTTAGATTGCATACAATGCAAAGCCCGACAATAGCCAGTCTGCATTTTTAATGTTTATTCTTTGCGCGACTCAACCCTCAAAGTGTTGGACAATAACCTAAATTTTGGGATAATAATCAGTCAAATGTAATGATCGATTTGATCCACATGACGATGCTTACGATTATATCGTATTGTCGGGCAAAGTTTGAGTCACAATTGAAGTTCCAAATCAAAATAAGACAAATACAAGTCCAATATTAATCTTCAAAGTTATCAGAATTATCGCATTCACAATGCGATCAAGTGAGACGCGAAAACCAGTTTGTACACGAACGATTCACGTTTCAAATTGTGTTCATTTACTTTACAGAGTAGCAACAGTATAAAGTGAACTTCCGATCAATCTACGATCAACAAATACTCCATTTATCAATTGAAATGATTGGTCTGGGTGACGCGTGGCATGCGAAGTGATTCCAGATAAGGAAACCCTTTATCATGTCTGGCACGCGAGTGTTTATTTAAATAAAAAGGCTATTGTTAAGTTTTTTCATCAAATTCCCATTAGAAACTTTTAAATTTCATCGCCTCAAAGACACGACAGGAAATTTATACAACGTCTCTACCATATACACACATACATAATATCAATGTAAAAAATTTTTTTGAAGAACTTGCCAATAAGAAACTCGATTTCTGTAATTGTTTCCAGATAGTTATTATTTTTTTTTCCTCCCTCTGCAACTTTATCCTTGACCACAATGGCCTCCATAAGGATGAACTATATTTCGAACACTATTGTTCTTTTCATATATATTCAACTTTTATACCATTTCATTTGTTATGGATACTACACTTATATTCCAGGTTTTAAATATGCTACACAGACAGGAGTAGAATTTATGTACAAATATTTCGTGTCAACCATAGTGTTCGGTGTCATATTGATTTTGACGATTGATTGTGGTCCTGACCTTGTTATGTGGATTTTCTCAGGGATGCGTAATGATTTTTTTGCAAGGTATATTCTCTCTCTCATAGGAATATCATTATTACGCGTTAAACCGATGTACTATAAGAATATCAAATTAATTTTTTTTTTTCTCACGCAGACTCAAAGGGGTTAAAAGAGAAGTTGATGAATTAGAGTCTTATTTATTAAAGAGAGCGAGACAGGAGAAGAATTGTGCCAAAGAGTTAGATCAAAGGATGGTTACTTACGAAGAAGTATACATTGACCAGGCGAACATATCACAAAATCCATCATATATTGGTGACGAGGATTCAAATCGATCACAGGAACCGACAGATACTTCAAATATATTTGTTGGTGATCTTCATGAATATCAAGACTATTCAAATACTTCGTTCGCGTCACCATCTAAAAAAGGAGATACATTTTTTTCAATGTCATATAAAGTCGGAAAAGGTCTTCGGACGTCTCCATTTGCAATGAGTTTGCCCGCCGTAGAGAATCCACACTTTGAGGCAACGTGCACGCAACTTTCATTGGTGAACAAAGGTGAGTGGCCATCACCGCCAAGGAAAGAACCTTGTAGATACATTAGTAATACAAATGGTGCACATCTCAAATTAAGACTTGGTCATCCAGAAGAATTATGTGTGCGCAAGACAGGTAATTATTCGTCATTTTTTATT